TGCATTCAGGAGTAAATCGATCTTTACAATCGGACGAAATAATTTGTTTTATTTGTTCACAAAATTTCATATAATGTAATCGGAACATTAGGATAATAACCATATATCATTGTACTCTATATTTTTTTTCATTTTGCAAAGAAATTGAAAAGTTTTTATTATCAATAAAAATTACATATATATATATATATATATATATATATATGTATATATATATTATTTAACATATAATTTATTCTAATTAAAGTACAACATTTGTCATGATAAAAAATAATTATAATATAGCGCTTTGAACAATGTCGACTTAAAATCGAAATATAAACACCTATGAAGCAAATTGATGTCGAGATAGGCTCGACTTAGAAGTTCAAAGGGTTAAATATCTTACGATTCACACCGAACACACATACACACACACACACATACATATGCACGCGCTTATGCACGTACATTGCACGGATATCTAGATTACAACGTATCCATACATACATACATACATACGTGTCATGTCCTTCTTAAGATAAGAGCTTTCGACGGGATGGTTAATATGCTCTATCTTTCGAGCATACTTGTGCATCGCTAAATGAAAAGGAATAGCAGGAAGGATTTAAGGCAACAAAAAGAAATGAGAGACAGAAAAAAAAAAGGAAGCACTAAGAGAAAAGAGTAGAAAAAAGAATGAGAAAATAGAAAAAAGAACAAAAAAAAAAGATTCTTCATCGATGGAAAAGTAATTATGGTTATATACGGTTAGGGTGGTATTCGAAAGGGGTTAAAAAGAAAGGAACGCAAGAAGCTAGAGAGTTATTGCCCTCGGATCATCCCTCTTTTCTATCCCTTTTTCTGTCCCACTCGTTCTCTTTCTCTCTCTCTCTCTCTCTCTCTCTCTCTCTCTCTCTTTCTCTTGTTTCACTTATACGTCTATCTATATCTTTCTCTCTTTTTATCGTAGAGTAGAACGAAACGTTTCGCTGATATGTATAAAAGAGAGAGAGAGAGGGAGACAGAGACAGAGGGAGATAGGACGTCCACTTGACACGATCTCGTATTGGTTCGCAGGTTTAAAGAGTTTCGATCGACGTTACACGGTTTCCCTTCGAGACACTCGACCCTAGTGACTGAAAGCAACGAAAGAGATAGATAGAGAGAGAGAGAGAGAGAGGAGAAGGAGAGAGAAAGGGAAGAAAAACAAGGAAGGAAAGAAAGAAAGAAAGGAAGAAGAAGAAGAAGAAAGAGAAGGAAAAGAAAGAAATAAATAAAGGAAGGCAGGAAGGAAGGAAGGAAGGACGGAAAAGGAAAGAAGGAAGGAAGGAAGGAAGGAAGGGAAGGTGTCCTATCAACTGACACGTGTGCTGTGTATTTGTGTATACGTGTTCTTTTTTTTTTTTATATCTCTGTGTGTGTTTTCCAATTCTCTCTCTCTCTCTCTCTCTCCTTCTCTGTCCATCTATCTATCTGTCTATTTGTGTTTTCCTGGACGTCCATTTTACACTGAAGAAGAAGAAGAAGAAGAAGAAGAAGAAGAAGAAGAGGAGGAGGAAGAGATCGGACAAGAGTCACGGTTACGAAGGTGCAAAAGAGAAGGAAGACGAGGAAGAAGAAAAGAAACGAAGGGTGGCGAAGTGAGAGAGAAAGAAAGAAAGAAAGAAAGAGAGAGAGAGAGAGTGAGAGCGAGCTAGGAGAGGAGAAAGGAAAAAAAGTTTTCTGAAGCGTTCGCGAACGCCTCTCTTCTTTTCAGTGTGTTTAAAACCGTCTCGACGAGCTTACGGTCGAATAAAAAGAGAACGAAGGAAGGATCGATCCAAAGAAAGAAAGGGCCGTGCATGTTTAACTGTGGACTATGGCAAGGATCCGTAGTCGCCAGACTATCATGATTCTCGGTTATCTCGCGATCGGCGTAGTCCTCGCGCAGAATCCTGTTGAGGAGAAGACAACCTTCGAGGCTGCTTTTCAAGGTAATCATTTATTTCAATTTTAATAATTAACGTTTATTAAAAGTAACATTCTTGATCGTCTATCGATTCGTTTAAAGAGAGAGAGAGAGAGAGAGAGAGAGAGAGAGAAAGAGAAAAAAAAGATGTAACAATCATCCGCACTATTGAACATTTATATCTTACGAGCCTTATGGATAATTTCAAGGCCATTTAGATTAGAGATTCCCCTTTCGAAAGGAACAACGGCGATTCCCTATGAAGTGAGTGGAAGAATAAGTCGAACGGACGGCAGGCTAGCTAGCAGCTAACTCACCCTCGTCATCGTGTTCCGTTTACAGCCTTAACTGAATAGGCATCAAGCGAGTTTGAAAGCAACCCCCGTGGAAGATTCGAACCGAGTGGCCCATAGAACTTTGACTCTTCACCCTAGTATTCCTCCCTTAGCTTTTTAAATCCTCAATTTTTGCACTCGTCCTTTTAAAAGCTGTCAGCCTTCGGAAGACCTTCTTCTTGCTTTTAAAATTCTCTTTCTCTTTTAACTTCTATCATAATCGATTGTTGTTGTCTATATGAACGTAAAGAGAGAGAGAGAGAGAAAGAGAGAGAGAGAGAAATTCTTTTCTTCTTCCTCTTAACGCCGCCCTGTTCCGCCCATTGCAATACTTCGATTACATTCGATCAATGAATCACAGTAATATTAAAGGATCAAAACGTTCTTTAAAACGTTAAAAGCGATCAGCCATACGAATCGATCCATTGCACGACACACTGTTTTCATAGACCTCACAAAAGAGCCCTCTCCTCTACCTCAGTGCCTTCTATCGAAGCTACCTGTTGACCTCGGAAGCTTTTAGACATGGACCTGTTGTCTTGTAACCGACAAGAGGGCACGATTATGTCATATTATCCGTATAACTTCGTATAGTCTTTAGTTACTTAGTATATTACACTGTAGTCTATGATTCTACAAATATCTAAACATCTAGGTATTCATGAAGAAAACTAATCCATTAAAATAAGTTAAACAGTACCGTCGTCGTTTTTATTGAATCGATACTTTTAATAAAATCTTCGATAATACAGAAGAAAGAAATATTTTTCGTTTGCAATGAAATATTAATGTTTTCGTTTTATGGTAAAAACGTTGACTCTCGTTATATTATTATCCTACTTTATAACTTCGAATAGTTAGATATAGATAATCGAAAAAAATTCATTAAGAAATCCCATTGTCGTCATTATCGCATTTACCATCTTTTATCCAATATATTTCGAAACGTATTAAAAATGTGATTGTGTCGTATCATTTATAATTTCGAATATTTTGTACGCTTAAATATCATTAGAAAAAAAAAAAAAAAAAGAAAAAGAGAAAGAAAAAAAAATCTCATCCTTTATGACAGCATTGCCATCTCGTAATTTTCACCTAACCGATCCTTTTAATAAAATCTCGGGTAATATTGAAAAGCGAAACATTTCCATTCGTAATGAAATATTACAGTCCCGTTTTATGGTTCAAACGTTGATCTCGTCTCGTATTATTATCCCCAGTTTATAACCGAAGAAAATTCATTAAGAAATCCCATCGTCGTCATTATCACATTTACCAAACGATCCTTTATCCAATATATTTTGAAATGTATTCAAAACCATAACGAAATAATTCCATAGCCTTGTATGTATCTACTATGGTTAAAATAAACTCGTCGAGCTCGGATCTGAGCGTCGGCATGCTAATAAAGATAAATTACATTAGGCGGTGATAGTAGTAGTAGTAGTAGTAGTAGTAGTAGTAGTAGTAGTAGTAGTAATAGTAGTAGTAGTAGTAGTAGTAGTAGTAGTAATAGTAGTGGTAATAGTAATAGTAACAGGAAGCTTTAGTTCTGTTATAAGCGACACCTAAAATACCTCGGCTATATCTCTATCTTCTCTTTCAAATACTCCTCCACCCTCTTTTGCTTGGCCATTGTTGTTGGTCCAACAATGATTTCCAACTCACTGCTAGGACCACCACAACCTCGGACCATCCCCATGGTATGCCAAGAATCGCTCGGCCGTCGGCCAGATTTTAAATGTTTACCTCGGTTTATATCTATGTACGTACGTACGTACGTACGTATACCTACGTACCTACCTACATATTCACAAAGTTTATTGGCCCTATTCTGTCCTTGTGGATTTCTACGAAGTTGGGTAAAGATGGGGTATAGGATATGATGACGATGGGGCAAAGGAGAGTTACGTAGAAAGGACAAGAAGGAAGAGGAAGATGAGGACAGCCCAAAGAAAGATCAGAGACAGAAGCGAGTGAAATATTACGTTTCCTCTATGAAACCGAGATATGAACGACAAAGTACTATTTTCCTTTTATATATACATATATATATATATATATATATATATATATGTATATATAAAATATATATAAAATATATATATATATATATATATATATATATATATGCTATCTGTATATAGGCGGTGACCTGTAACTAGTTCTTCTACTATTACGAGGATTGTTATATTAGACGAGAGATAAAAAAAGAACATAGGCGAAAAATCGTGTAATTTCTTTCCGTCGGGATGCTCGAAGAAATCGACTTTCAGCGTGGAAATCTCTCTGGAAGCGAAGTGATTTCTATTTATTTTCTCTTCTAATAATATATATATATATATATATATATATATATGTATATATATGTGTGTGTGTATGTATGTGTGTATACGTTATTACTCACAGAGTTAATTAGTTAGTTATAATTGAAAGATCTGCTAACTGGATTAGTTTAAAAAATAGCAATAATACGAGGAAAATAATTGGGAACTATTATTTTTTTTTTTTTTTTTTTTTATAAAAGAAAGTGAGAATCATCGAGTGCCCTTTCAAATTCATTTTTTAGCTAAGAAAATTTTTTCGATCGATCAAAGATAAATTCGAAGCGATTTAAATTTTATTTAAATACTGTAACCCTAACCTGTAGTATTGCACTTGTAGTGATTGTTCTCAATTCTATATATATATATAGATATATACATACAGATATAATATAAAATATTTATGTATCCATAATCCTCGAAGGATGAAACAGAAGGACGATATAAAGTTACCTAGAAATGTCATTCCAAATTTGTTCTGATTTCATCGTCTTTTATCCGTTTATATCTATATATCTATTTATTTACCTGTTCACCTGTCCATTTATTTATTTACTAATTTATTTATTTATATATCTATCTCAAACATGTAACACTACGTAATTTTTCTCGCGATATTATTTTCTTCCATTTTCTTTTTTCTTCTTTTTTTTCTTCTTCTTCTTTTCTCTCCTTTTCCTTTTTGTTTTTTTGTTTTTTTTTTTTTTTTATTTCAGAGATATCCTTTTCAACCGTTATTGTCTAAAAATAATGAATCGCACCTCGCTTTAGTCACAGCTAACGCAGTTATCGCGCTCGAGATGGTACGATTCGTAGAGAGAGAAAGAGAGAGAGAGAGAGAGAGAGAGAGAGGAGTTAAGGAGGATGAGGAGGATGAAGGAGGAGAAGGAGATATTACCAGGAGCTCTCTCTTTCTCTCTCTCTCTCTCTCTTTCTCTCTCTCTCTCTCTCTCTCTCTCTCTCTCTTTCTCTCTCTCTCTCTCGTCCTTCGTCGTACCGTTCGATAAATGCCCATCCCCATTCCTTCAACCCCGTTCACGTTCCTTATCCTCTTTCCTATGATAACCGTAGAAGGTGGAAATGTGTGGATATACCTGTGTGTAACTGTAGGCGTAAGTATAGATCTATAGATAAAGGTAGAGAAGAACCGGTGACAAGCTATATAGTATTCGGATTATTCTACAGGACCAATGTACAACTTGATTACACGGCCAATTTACAGAATCGTGTTGGTACATTGCGCACATGCGTGATAGGCCGCATTGGAGATCGATCGTGCGGCAAAGGATAGAATAATACACGAGAGTTAACGTATTCCGCTATTGCTTTTATAAAGATCACGAGGCAGGAAATGACGTTCAGATATATGTATATATATATATATATATATATATATATATATATATATATATTTATATATGGAGAAGGGTAGGGAGATGGACCGGAGGGAAAACTTATGAAAGGAAGAATCATATGAGCTTTGTCAGAAAGTCATGAAAGAAACTTTTATGATTATATTCCTTAGTCATACATTTACATTAGATATTAAATCAATTGTTTTTTGTAAATTAGCTTTTTTCTTTTCTTTTCTTTTCTTTTCTTTTCTTTTTTTTTCTTTTTTTTTTTTCTTTATTAATAAGTCGGATAAAATTCTTTTATCCTTCCTCGGTTATTTCTTCTCTTTTTTTTTTGGGAACGGTGAAGAATATATATTTTTTTTTTTAATTTTTGTTACGTCTTTGATTCGTTAAAGAAAATTAATATAATATCTCTTTAATCATTTATTTCTATATTACATTATATCTTCAATAATCAAATCAATTCTTTTTTACTTTTTATCGTATAGTTTTAAATAACAATTAACATTCGTTCATAACGATATAAATATGTTTCTCTATCGAAGAAAAATTAGAAAAGAATTAATATGCATATCGTTATATTTCTATTAAACATAATTCGTTATATGAAACTGATACCTTCATTTATCCTATTCTATTGTATTTTAATGGTCTATAATTTAATTTTTAAGTTTCAACAGAAGCCAGAAGTAAAATTCGCGCTTCTCTTTATCGAAAATCGTTACTAAAATTTTTCTATATGTATCTTCTGTTCAGTTCGGATGTGACTGTCGAAAAAGAATGTAAAAAAAGAAAAGGAAAAAAGAAGAGAAAAAAAAGAAACGAAAAAAAAAAAATAATGAATAAGAAAAAATGTTAAAATTGGTAATAAAATTGGGGGATATCTGAATATATCCTTAAATTCTCACGTGAAACAGGAGTTGGCTATTATTATTACTGGTATGACAACTAAATGATATGAAGAAAAGAGGGGTTGCAAAATTTAGCGGGAAAGTTATAAAATTGGCTTTATGAAATTTTCCGGACGTAAAATGTTCGACGGTTGGGTAGTAGCAGTGGTGGTAGGTATGTAGTATGGTTGGTAACAGTAGTAGTAGTAGTAGTAGTAGTAGTAGTAGTAGTAATAGTGTAGTAGTAGTAGTAGTAGTAGTGTAGTAGTAGTAGTAATAGTAGTAGTAGTAGTAGTAGTAGTAGTAGTAGTAGTAGTAGTAGTAGTAGTAGTAGTAGTAGTAGTAGTAGTAGTAGGAGTAGTAGTAGTAGTAGTAGTAGTAGTGTAGTAGTAGTAGTGTAGTAGTAGTAGTAGTAGTTTCGAGGCCGCGGGAAAAGTAAATTTTCCATGGCCGTCGTTGTGGGCTTGCGTTATAAATAAGTCCTCGGTGGATAAGGGATAACGATTTATAAACACACTGGCCAGAGGGATAAAAATGGGATGTCTATCCTTACTGGTGGATAGCCACACCCTCTCTCTCTCTTTCTCTCTCTTTGCCACTCCCTTCTCCACCCTTTTTCTCTCTCTCTCTCTTTCTTTCTCTCTCTCCCTTTGCTCATCGTTTTTTTTTTATTCCTATGCATTAACTGAATCAGTTTACCATCAATGTATTATTTATTGATCAATTTGATAATACGATTAGTAATAATACTATATATAATTATTATCATCATACGTATGTATATGAATAATGTACATTGAATAAATAACTAGTTTTATTATAGTTATATTATAGTTTTATCTTCCTTACTCTTTTTTTTATTTATATTACAATACTATCTTTATACTATTTTTTATACTTTATACTATATTTTTTATTTATTATACTATTTTTTATACTTTTTATACTTTATACTATATTTTACCTAGTTATTTCTATATCTAAGCTATTGTTATTTAAGTATGGCTTTTGCGTAAAATCGATAAGAAAGAAAGAGAAAGAGAGAGAGAGAGAGAGAGAGAGAGAGAGAGAGAGACAAAGAAATATGTAACTTATATAAATCGAATTTGAAATATTCGAATATGTTCCTTTTCGGTTCCTATTGGAGAATCTTTTTGAAACAAGCTTACGGAAAAAACATGCTTTTTCTAAGGATTATACCTCGATTCCGTCTAACGTATACAATCTCACGGATGGAATTTGAAGAAAGTTCCTTACCTAGGAAGGACTTTCGAAAGATGGTTGGAATAGTAACGCGCCCACCTCTCATTTCCCAGAGAAAAAGAAAGAGAGAGAGAGAGAGAAAGGATAAGAGAGAAGGGATGTTTATTTTCTGACATCAAATGCAAATACTTTTTTTTTCTCTCTCTACGAGCATGATCGTTCTCGGTTTCAGGAAGATGCGGGCATAGATCTCCCTGCGAGCATCTTTGCTACGAACTTCACGACGGAATGTATGAATGTGACTGCAGGGACGGCTACATACTTCATAAGAATGGATATAGTTGTGCCGGTAAGTTTTTACAAATTTATATCTATCTATCTATCTATCTATCTATCTATGTATCTGTTCATCTTCTTTTTTTTCCCCCATTCTACTTTATTTTTCTTATTATTTTTATTTTATTTACAAAGAAATGGAAGCTCTCTTATCGCAGACAAGAAGAATTTCTGTCGAATCTACATACGTCGCATTTCTGTGGTTATTCTTTTTCCTTCCTTTTTTTTTCTTTTTTTTTTTTCTTATTCTCTCCTCCGAAAAATATATATGATACGTATTACATCACTGTTCGCCCGGAAGTAACTTGACATATTTTTTTTTCCTCTCTCCATTTTCCGTGGCGTTACTTCTTTCTCCTTTATTTTCTATCTTTTTTTCTTCTTATTTTTATTATCGCCATTATTATTCATAAGAAATATTACTACGAGCAAATAAGTCGGAAGGAAGCATATGCATCTCTCTCGTATGTCGTTCATGTAGATTATTTGTTTGGTTTCTTTTTTTTTTCTTTTTCTTTTTTTAATTCTTCACTTGAAAATTACTATTCTTAGGAAATATTATCGCTTATCCTTAAAGGACAATATTGTACGTATCGAATTTTTTCTTCTTCCCTCCTACTCTCTCTCTCTCTCTTTCTCCCTCATTGAAAATATTACAGATTGTTCAAGAAAAGAAACATACTATATGTCACTTTTTCTGCTTCTTTTTATTATTTTTTTTCTTTTTTTATCCGATCCATGTCGAACAGGCAGCTCGATGTAATGATATCTCACGATCGCCGTTACTTATCGTTCGTGCGAAATAAAGCTAGTTGAAGTTCTTTCTCTCTCTCTCTCTCTCTCTCTCTCTCTCTCTCTCTTTCTCTCTCTTTCTCTTTCTCTTTCGTTCTCCTTCGAACCTTTTTCTTTCTTTGAAAGAGCCGAAGCGTTGCTCGTTAGCGCGGAAATTGCGTGTCGTTAAAAAATTACGGGAGAGTGCGAGACGTCTCGACGTCTTTTATTATTATTTTCTTCTTTTTTTTTTGATTTTTTGTTCTCCTTTTTTATTTCTTTTAATCTCTTTTTTTTTTCACCACTTCGGGCGTTTGTTTTGCCGCGTCGTAAGACACGGTCGGCCTAGATGCGAGAAGAATGGAAATAAAAGGGGACGACGAACAATGAATAAATTAATAAAAAAAGAAAAATTATTGGGTTGCGTCCATGAGAAAATTGCCGGAATTTTTAGTGAAAGATATTCAACATGCAATGTCTTTTCTTGTTTCCTTTTTTTGAATAGAATATTTGTTTAAATTAAAAAAAAAAAAATGTATATATATATACATATACATGAGTGTATATATTAATGATAGTTTATAAAGTGTAGTTTAATTAATAAAAGATATCAGAATCATCGATATTTTATATTATAATAGAAACAATATTCAATATCTATGAAATCTATTATATATGTGCATTTTAAAATTGATTTTAGTTATTTTAATATAACGAAAGTAAATATATTGAACTGGCCAATAAATAATGAAAAAAATTTTTCTCTAAAATGTTACTGCAAATTCGTTAGAAAATACGGTCAATTTACTTTAGAAATTTTCAATCAAAAATATTGCAAATTCAATAGAAAATT